ATCTATTTTTCGATTCATTCAAGGTATAATGGGCATCATTCTCCAATTTCAATGGAGAAGGGTGTTGTGACCAGCTTAATTAAATCTCTGCAGCCCCTGCGATATAGGATGACCCAGCTGCTTTTAGGAAGCAAGTTCCAGAATTTTGATCCAGCAACAGTAAAACAACAATGGTGTAGTTCCAAGTCAGAGCAGTGTCTCACTTAGATGGGAATTTGCTTATCTCCATGCATCTACTGTTTTCATCCTTCTAGGTGGTAGATGTCATAGATTAGAAAGGTCTTGAGATACGAGTTGCCTGCAAATTATCTAGCTTGTAAAACAATGTGCCTAGACATTGGCGCACATAAATAAATTGTATTTCATGCAGCTGTTTTTAGGCAAAGTATGTAGAGAGGAAAAAAATGGTTTGTCTTAGCAGAATTGGTAGATTCCCTCTCTCCTTGTTTTCTGTCATCCTTTCAGAAAGCAGCATCTGGTTATGAAGCGAATTGAAGAAACATCTATTCACCAAAACCTGAAAAATATATCCAATGTTTTCTGCTGCTGAGGATACAAGTTAAAAGTTAAACAACAGTGGTCTCCAGTTAAAACCTAATATCTGAAGGACTCTAAAGATATTTAAAGTACAGATTCTTTTATCTTCATTTTTGTACTGGGCACTGTTGCCTTTTCAAAACTTTGCCAGTATTTGAAGTTGCATCTTTTTTTTTTCAAGGAGTTAGCAAGTAATATATTTCCCCCTTCTATCACTCAAGTAACTGTCTCCTTAATTTTAACTAGTGAACTATGTTTGAATTGAGGTGTGATGTAAGTACCCGCTCAAAGGAATTAAAACTCTTTGTAGATGGCTGAGGTGTTAAAAAGAGGGAGGCTGATTGGCTGATACTCATCTGTCTCAATTAGGGAAAGAAATTACATATACTTGGTTTGTATTCTTGGATTATAAAAGGTTATGAAGTAATTTGATTGAGTTTTTTTAGATTTTGAATAGAACTAATGTGATGTATAGAAAGAAACATTTTTCATTCGTAGGCGAGTCTAAGACAAGAAGATATAATCTTCAAATGAAGGCAGACCATTCAGGCAGGAAGTTAGAAATTTCTCTTCTATAATTTGAGTAAAGTAGAGATAGAAGTAAAGAAAGATGCACATCAATATAGTCGCAACCTCAGAACATCCCAAAACATTTTACAGCCTATATAATACTACCACAAAGTCTCGCCATTGTAAGACCTGTACTAGTCATTTATGGTGTGGTTCAGTTTGGCTCAGCCAAGCACTCTTTAACAGTAATGCAATAATGACCAAATAATCTAGTTTTGTAATATTGATTGAGCATTAAATATTGGCAAGAGAACTCCACAGGTCTTTTTCAACTAGCACAACAGGATCTAAGTTAACCTCTGAGAAGAAGCGAGACCTCACTTTCATTTATTATCTCTAAATGACAGCTCCTGCAAGAGTACTGCATCAGAGTCTCTATTGTGATGAATGTTTATGCTATATTGTTATTATTTTTAAACATGGTTATAGAACATAGAACAGTACAGCACAGTACAGGGCCTTTGGCCCACGATGTTGTGCCGAACTTTTATCCTAATCCTAAGGACTATCTAACCTCCACCCCTACCTTATACTATCATCCATATGCCTATCTAATAGCCGCTTAAATGCCCCTAATGAGGCCGACTCCACTACCCTCTGTGGCAATGCATTCCACGGACCTACCACTCTCTGAGTAAAGAATCTACTTCTGGCGTCTCCCCTATATCTACCTCCACTCATTTTAAAACTATGCCCCCTTGTAATAGCTACCTCCAACCGTAGGAAAAAGTCTCTGGATGTCCACTCTATTTATACCTCTGATCATTTTGTACACCTCTATCAAGTCACCTCTCATCCTTCGTCGTTCTAAAGAGAAAAGCCCTAGCTCTCTCAACCTTTCCTCGTAAGACCTTCCCTCCATTCCAGGCAACATCCTGATAAATCTCCTCTGCACCTTTTTCCAATGCTTCCACATCTTTCCTGTAATGAGGCGACCAGAACTGGACACAATATTCCAGATGTGGCTGAACCAGGCTTTTGTACAGCTGGAACATAACTTCACGGCTCTTGAACTCAATCCCTCTATTAATGAAAGCTAACACACCATACGCCTTCTTAACAACTCTATCCACCTGGGTGGCAGCTTTCCGGGAACTGTGGACATGAACCCCAAGATCCCGCTGCTCCTCCACACTGCCAAGAATCTTTCTGTTAACCCTGTATTCTGCTTTCAAGTTTGTCCTTCCAAAATGAATCACCTCACACTTTTCAGGGTTAAACTCCATCTGCCACTTCTCAGCCCAGCTCTGCATCCTATCAATGTCCCTTTGTAACCTAGAACAGCCCTCCGCACTGTCCACAATTCGACCCACCTTCGCATTGTCCACGAACTTACTAATCCACCCTTCCACTCCTTCATCCAAATCATTTACAAAAATCACAAATAGAAGAGGACCCAGAACAGATCCTTGTGGTACACCAAGTTATGAAGTGGATATAACCTTTATGTAGTGCTAAATTTGGTTTGAATTTCTATACTGCGTGTTAGGAAGGAGAAACATGGCTTTACTTTAATTTTTGAGTTCTTTGAGTGGTGCCAATTGTCTGGAATTTTTCTTTGCATGTATTTAAATGATGTTTTTAAAACGCCGTAAGGTAAATAGTTCAGTGTCTTAGAAAGAAAGATTGAAGAGAGAAAAAATGAGGCTTGTTGCGATGCAACAAGGTCTCCTATGACATATGGAGACAGAAGCAATTTCTTTTACAAAGGGAACCATCCAGAAAGTCAGGGAGTGCGCAGAATTGTGACAGGGAGAGGAAAAGGTCATGCAGAGCTTTTAAATGAAAGGGCTGTATCAGAAACAATGCGGTTTAAAACAGTCATAGTGGAAGGAAAGAAGTCCTGAGTAGCTTAATATCAGTGAGAAATAAAGCTTCAGAGAGAGAGGGTCTCAAGAAGAAACTGAGCTAAAATGTAGCATCAAATGAATGCGGAAGTTTTCTGAAAAGAAGTCATTTGCAGCTGTTGCAGCGAACAAGGAACTTTGCATTACAACTGAAGTTTTACTGAGATTTGCAAATCAGAAAGATTGTTGTTGAGAGAAATAGGGTTGCATCTTGAGCAGAAGGGCCAAATAGATGATCCATTTTGACCTGCTTCTAAGATCCTCAATAACACAGATGCCAGTATTTAGCTAATTTGATTCACTGCACAATGTCAGCAAGAAACAGCTAAAAGCTCTGGATACTGCAAAGGCTATTGGCCCTCACAATATTCTGGGAATAGTCCCATGACAAGTTTGTAGAACTTGTGCTTCTAAACAAGCTGTTCCAGTACAGCTACAGCACTGGCATCTCCCCAAATAATGCAGAAAATTACCCAGGTATATTCTGTACATAAAAAAAGGACAAATTAAACACAACTAACTACCACCTCATCAGTCTACTCTCAGTCATCAGGAAGGTGGCAGAAGGGCTGATCAATGGTACTTTGCAATAATGTGCTCTCTGACGCGACACCAGGGCAACTCAGTTCCTGACCTCGTTACATCCTTGTTCAAGCATAGAAATAAGATCTAAACTCCCGAGACGAGGTCAGGTGGTCACTCTTGGCATTAAGGCCACTTTTGCGGCACTAAGAAGTTCTGGCAAAACTGGAGTCAATGGGAATCAGTGGTAAAACTCTGCACTAATTGGAGTCATATCTAACACAGAACAAGATGGTTATGGTTGTTAGAGGTCAGTTATCCCAGCTCCACGACATCTCTGCAGAAGTTCCTCAAGGTAGTGTCCTGGGCCCAGCTACCTTCAGCTGCTTCATCATTTGCAGCTTTTGATGTAGTTTCCCACATCATTCTTCTCTGATACATCTCTTCCATTCTTCAACAAAGTGAGACTGTCCTTAGCTGATTCTACTGACCATGCTAAATTTCCCACAGTATCCAGGGATGTGCAGGCTAGGTGGGTTAGCCATGCAATATGCAGGCTTACAGCGATAGGGTAGGGGGTGGGTCTGGGTGGGATGCTGTTAAGAGTCTGTATGGACTCAATGGGCTGAATGGCCTGCTTTTGGGGTGAATGCTGAGTGTAGTACATCAGCAATCAGTGCTATTAATTCTAGGAGTCTAATTTTGGAGTCTGTGCAGAGTGGCCAGAATGACTGAACACCAGCAATGATTAGAAAAATGTGTACGATTCCATTTTGAAAGGCAGCAAATGAGATACAAATCAGTCAATAAATACTTCATGTGACATAGGAAGTGATTAAATGGAGCACAAATTCAAGCAACGTCATCACTACAGGAGAAGGAGATATGAGCAGGGGCCATAAAAATGCAAGTTCAGTATAGCTGGCAGGAAATAATTCCTGAAAATAAAGGAATAATAGATATCTAGAATGGTTCCGGGTAGATTATAAAGGCAGAAGCTCTAGAATGTTCAACAGGCATTTATTTGTTTTATTACCTCTACTGCAGGTTTGAAGTACAATCAAGAATAGTAAAGTGGTCTTCTTCATCCTTAGTGAATTTAAAATATATTGGTCACATTAACTCAATACAATACACATTGTGCAAATGTAAAATACAATGGATGCTGGAAACCTGAAATGAAAATGAAAATCCTGGAAATGCTCAGCAAATCAAGCTGAGGAGAAAGAGACAGTTAACATTTCAATTCAATGATTTTCTGTTAAAGCAGTTGTTAGTTGTTTCAGAGATAGTAGGAACTGCAGATGCTGGAGAATCTGAGATAACAAGGTATAGAGCTGGATGAACAATGCTGCTTGGCCTGCTGTGTTCATCCAGCTCTACACCTTGTTATCCCAGTTGCTAGTTGTGTTGTGATTGTTAAAACAAGTCTAGTGTTTCCTTATTAATAACTGTTTTCACATTGGCTTTGTAAGTATTGTACAATAACCAGGTTATCATCAATTAATGCTCTCAAACATTCAGATGCCTACACAAACTACATCAACGCCCCTATCCTTGGGATGTGGAAAGGAGCCAAAGATGCAGGTCGCAGCCAATTTGACTCAGTCTGTGTTTCTACAGCAGTTTATCCTTGATGTAACTCAGCTCCGTGGAGGACAGATGGACCCAAAAGAAATGAATTGAGACATGAGAAAATGGAATCTGTAAATGTCACTCCAGATATTTAAAATAAAACAACTAAATGGAATTTTAATAAAACAATTGAGTGAGTATTTTAAATAAATTTATGTTGAGGAGTTTTGGAATCAGATGATTTTAATTCCGCTAGAAGTGTACAATTTGTGAAAAGGTCAGTTTTGTTTTAAAGCAAATTCTGTCAGGTTCTAAGCATCAGATTTCATCTTCTCAAGCTAGATTACTTCTTGAAACAAAGATGTGAAAGAGCAGAATTACGAAGTAGGTCAGGCAACTGATTGTTCGTTAGAGCGATAACATCAGGAAAGAGAAGAAAGGCAACGTACTGGACTCATGGAATCCAAGTGCACACCAAATAGCAGTGAAAAACCAGATATGTCAAATAGTTTCAAAAAGAATAACTGATGAGTTTCCATTTAAAATTCATTGTTTATTTCTTATGAGATTCTCAAATGCTTCATGTCTTAAGAACAGATCACCTTTAATGTGGTCTTTTTGGGAGGATTAAATTCCTTTTAATTATTATGTATAAAATTACCTTCCTTGGCAGTCCCACAGGAAATTCCTTGTCAGAAAGCCATTGAGCCATTAAATATATTCAGCAATATGTACATCAGGACCATCTCTCTCTCTCTCAGACATGAGGAAAATGATTATGAGAAATTAACAAGCAGTTTATTCTCTTGTCAATTACATGTGCGATTGTGGATAGTGGATCACATGCCAGAATAAAGTTGTTTACTGACGCGGAGGCAATTGGATCTCCAGGTGATCCAGTAATTATCATTTAGCAGAACTAACTGAACAGAATTGAAACAAGTCAATTTTAACAATCATGATGACGTTGCTCAGACAACTGTGTACACAGCAAGAAAGCTCACAATATTGATTTAACAGCATGTTCCATTGATGATAAGGGGAAATTTCCAGGGATGCTTTAACCCGAAATCAACGTCTTCATTGGTCATAGAGTCATAATTATAGGGTCATACGGCACAAAAACAGACCCTTCTGTCCAACTTGTCCATGGCAACCAATTTTCCCAAACTGAACTAGTCCCATTTTTCTGCGTTTGGTCCATATCCCTCTAAACCTTTCCTATTCATGTACTTGTCCAAATGTCTTTTAAATATTGTAGCCGTACTGCTTCTACCACTTTCTCTGGCAGTTTATTCCATATAAGAACTGCCCTTTGTGTGAAAAAGCTTTTCGACTCAACAACAACAATAAGTTATATTTGCATTGCATCTTTACTTAGTAGAACATCCCATGGCCCTTTATAGGAGCAATCATCAAGCAAAATGTGAAATGAAGGAGACAGTAGGAGATGTAAGCAAATGTTTAACTAAACAACATAGGTTTTAAAAGGCATCTTAAAAGAGGAAAGAGAGTTAAGGAAGTTGAGAGGCAAAGAGGTTTAGGAAAAGAATTCCAGGTGAAGAAATCACCTTTGAAAGGTTGAGTAAAAGGTAAGAAAATCTGTTTAATTTTGAAAACTCCTGAAAACAACAAGGTTCGATTCGATATGAATGCAAATTGATCCTAATTTCCTTTGTGATACCAAGCTCTGTCACCACCTATGAGATGCATGTACCTGTCGTGGCAGTAGGAAAATAAGGTTAAAAATTGAAAAAATCAGGACATCTTCTGCAGATCTGGCTGAGTCTATGGAAGGAAGAACAGTGTTTGTGTTTCAGGTAATAACCTTTCATTAGAACTGAACTTTCATTAGAAATCTGGATATACCACATCCACAGGTTCCCCATTGTCCACCACGCAAGTAATGTCCTCAAAGAATTCCACCAAATTAGTTAAACATGACCTACCTTTCGTGAATCCATGCTGGGTCTTCCTAATGGGAGAATTTACATCTTGCCATCTTAATCCTTCATTTTCACTGGAACCTGCTGGTGTTGAACTCTAATCAAGCAGCCTTTAAAAGTTCCCCACATGCCAGATGTGGATTTACCTCCAAACAGCTGTCTGCAATCTACATTCCCCAGGTCCTGCCTAATATTGTGATAGTAAGTCTCTTCCCAAGTTTAGTACTTTCACTGAGGACTACTGTTATCCTTTACTATAAGTAACTTAAAACTTACAGAATCACAGTCACTGTTCCCAAAATACACCTCCGCTGAAACTTCCATCGTTCGGCCAGGCTCATTCCCTAACATAAGGTCTAGTATGGCCCCTTCCCCAGTTTGACTGTTTACATATTGTTTCAAAAAAGTTATTTTGGACACACCTGCCCCAGCAAACCAAACTCATCTCCATAGTCCATAGAACCCCTACAGTGTGGAAACAGGCTCTTCGGCCCAACAAGTCCACACCAACATTTAGAGCATCCCACCCAGATGCATCCCCCTAACCTACACATCCCTGAACACTATGAGCAATTTAGCACAGCCAATTCACCTAGCCTGCACATTTTTGGACTGTAGGAGGATACCAGAGCACCTGGAATAAACCGATGCAGACACGGGGAGAACGTGCAAACTCCACACAAACAGTCACCTAAGGGTGGAATTGAACCCAGGTTCCTGGCGCTGTGAGGCAGCAGTGGTAACCACTGAGCCACCATGCCACCCCTACTCTTGCACTCCATTCTCTCCACACCAATCCCTGTTTCACTATCAAACCCACCGACAAAGTTGGGGCGGTGGTAGTCTGGAGAACAGATTTCTACCTCGCAGAGGCCGAACGCCAACTCTCCGACACCCTGTCCTACCTTCCCCTTGACCATGACCCCACCATAGCCCATCAAGCCACTGTCTTCTATACTGTCCGTGATCTCATCACTTCCGGCAACCTCCCCTCCACCGCCTCCAGCCTTGTAGTCCCCCAGGCCCTCACTGCCCGCTTCTACCTGCTCCCCAACATCCACAAACCTGACCACCCCAGCCGATCCATAATTTCTACATGCTCCTGCCCCACAGAACTTATCTCTTCCTACCTTGACTCCATTCTCTCCCCCTTGGCGCAGGCACACCCCTACTACATCCGGGACACAATCTATGCCCTCCACCTCTTTGTAACTTCCAGTTCCCTGACCTCCAGCGCTTCATCTTTACTATGGAAGTTCAATCCTTATACATGTCCATACCTTACAAGGATGGCGTACAGGTCCTCAGTTTTTTGCTCTCCAGCAGACCCATCCAGTCCACCACCATCACTCCCCCCCCCCCCCCCCACACCAATACTGTCTTCCACCTCACTGACCTAGTCCTCACCCTCAACTTTTCCTTCAATTCTTCCAAATTCCTCCAAATCCCAGGGGATTGCCATGGGCATTCACATGGGCCCCAGCTATTCCTGCCTGTTTATCGGTTATGTCAAACTCTTTAGTACGTACACCGGTACTGTTCCCCAATTCTTCTGTTGTTACATCGATGACTGCCACCCTGAACTGGAGCAGTTCATCGACTTCTCTAACAACGTCCACCCTGCCCTCAAATTCACTTGGTCTATCTCAGACACCTTCCTCCCCTTTGTTGACCTCTCCGTTTCCATTTTCTGGTGACAGCTTACGTACCAACATTTACTATAAACCCACAGACTCGCATAGCTACCTAGACTATACCTCCTCCCACTCTGTATCCTGCAAAAACTCCATCCCATTTTCCTAATTCCTCTGTCTCTGTCGCATCTAGTCTGATGAGGATATGTTCCACTTCCAAGTATCCTGGATGTCCGCCTTTTTCAAATGACGTTCTTTCCACCACCACTACGCCCCGTCATTCAGATAGCCCTCCACCATGGCTCCTCCATCCCTGCTCCACAGCTCTAAACCACCAACCCCCCTCCAAACACAACAAAGATAGGGTATCCTTTGTCCTCACTTTCCACCCACCAGCTTCCGCATCCAGCATATCATTCTCAAATACTTCTGCTAACTCCAATTAGACCCCACCACCCAGAACATCTTCCACTCCTTCTGCAAGGACCATTCCCTTTGCCACCCCTTAATTCAAGCCATACTCCCCACCAACCACTCTAACCCCCACCCCGGCACCTTCCCCTAAAACCATAGGCCCACACACCACCTCCCTCACCTCCATTCAGGGCCCTAAACAGCCCTTCCAAATGAGACAGAGCTTCACCTGCATCTCCTCCAGTCTTGTCTATTGCACCCAGTGCTCCTGATGTGGTCTTCTCTCTGTCGGTGAAGCCAAACGTAGACGAGAAGACTGTTTTGCCAATCATCTCTGCCTGGCCCGTAACAGCCACCCTAACCTCCTGGTCACAGCCCATTTCAACTTCCTGCTCCTGCTCCCCCTCCGACATGTCTGTCCTCAGCCTCCTCCAGTGTCGCAGTGACTCAGAAAGCAAATCTTCCGCCTGAGCACCCTACATCCCGGAGGACTCAACATTGAGTTCTCCAATTTCAAATAACCTTGTCACCCATCCCCTGCCTCCCCTTCCAGCCCCACCTCCTCACTTCCATTCCACCTTCTGACCCTCCCTTCTGGCCACCAACCGGATTCATCCCTCCCTTCAATCAGGCAGGTCGTGCCTACCACCAGTGCCCACCTATCACTACCATTCCGCCTCCACCCAATTCCAGTCAATATGGGGGAAGTTAAAATCATCAACCACAGCAGTTCTGTTTCTATATCTTTCCAAAATCTGTCCACACATCTATTCATCCATCACCCTCTGGTTGTTGGGAGGCCTGCAGTAACATCCTATCAAAGTGATTGCACCCTTCCTATTCCTGAGCTCTGCCGGTGTCCCTGCAGTTTAAGTGCAACCTGGTCCCACCTATCCCAGAAGACTTCCCAGTGATCCACATATCTGTAACCCTCCCTCCAACTCCAGCTATTTGGCCACGTATTTACTATACTATCTTCCTATTCCTGGCCTCCCTAGCTTGTGACACAGGAATTAATCCTGAGTTGAGAATTTATCAGATTATCTGTGTTCTCAATGATGACAGAGGAGACTTCATGGATTGAATGGCCTAATTAGGGTCCTGTACCTTATGATCTTAAGTCTTAATACTCTCCTCATGCCCGGCTGAGTGCAGCTCTGATAAAACT